TCCTTCTTCTTGCCATTCTTACTTAAAATGATTTTGCATTCAGAAATTCGGGACTTAAATACGGATTTGATGCATGAGAAAATAGTGCATATTGGACGTGAAGAAGGGAGCAAGTTGCACGTGGGAAAAAAAACGCGCCTGATTTAAATGTCACACCTGAACGCTCACATCCTTTTAATTATGTTTGAAATTATGAACATTGCTCAACATCATGAAAATTAAACCTTATTTTCAATAAGCAATCTTGAAAAATATTTGGGGGTGCTTAACTTTTTTCCAGGTGTATATGTTTAACATCACAGAAATCTGTTCCACAAGAAGATGCATGTGTTACCATAAATGAATGTTCTAGAACAATAGGTAACTAAGGGAAAAGGAACTTAGCTACTTCCTTAACTGATGTTTTTTTCTGATAAGCTACATATACTCACATGTATGCAAATTTTTATATTGAATAAGCAGGGTAGACAATACATGTAATATGCCTGCGTACAACAGTAACACATTGCTTATATTACTAGGGAATTTTCTTCAATAAAAATGTAATTTAAGCTCTAATAAAATAATTGCTATTGTAATCAGACTGTTACCTTATGAAATCTAATTGTGTTTGTTTTCAGTTACACAGAGAACAAGATTTTGATGAAATGGAAAGATGGTTAGAAGATAAAGTAAGATGCTATTTTATTAATATGATATATTATCAATTGACTGTAGTAATGATTTTTTTATCTTATCCTCATTGATTCTGTAATGAAATATTAGGTCATCAAGAAATTAATGTCATTTTTTTTAGATAAAAAAATCTAAACAACTTGTATATCAAAACAAAACATTTATTAAATAAAATAGTCTCCATTCGTATTGAGGATGCTTTTCCATCTTACAATCAGGTTTTTAATGCCCTGATTAAAGAAATCACTTGGCTTTGAAGCAAAAAACATGTTGATGTCCTTTTTAACACTTTCCACATTCGCATACGTTTTCCCATTAATATGATGTTGCAGTGAATAAAAAAGATGGTAATCTGATGGTGCCATAGCTGGAAAATATGGTGGGTGGGGGAGAACTTCCCAACCCAACTCCAAAATCTTGTGTTGCATCAAACGTGCCACATGTGGACAATTATTGTTGTGGAGAAGAAGAACACCTTTCTGATTGATGAGTGAAGGGCTTGATTTAAATGTTCCAGTTGCTGACTATATATCTCTGCATTGACAGTTTGCTGTGGATTGAGGAGTTTGAAATGAATTACTCCTTTGATGTCCCACCAAATGTTAAGCATCACTTTCTGCGGATGGAGTCCAGGTTTTGGGGTTGGAAGTGGTTTTTGACTAGGACTGAGCCATTGTTTTTGGCATTAATACTCACATAGAGAATCTATTTTTCATCACAGGTGACAATTCTGTCCAAAAATAATTCATGCTCATTATGCGCCAGAAAAGACGAGCAACATTCACATGTTCTATATGATGATCATCGGAGAGTTCGTGAGGCACCCAAACACCTTCTTTATGGAGTTTTCCCATATTTCTTAGATGTTTACGTATTGTTTCATGAGAGACCTGCAATTTCAGGCTATTTCACGAGCGTGTTGCCTTGGTTTAGACTCAACAAGCGTCTTCAGGGCATCAATATCAATTCCAACATGTTGGCCCCTGCCATCACAGTTTTTAAGGCTAAAGTCACATGAACGAAATTTGCTGAACCGTCGTTGATGCTTACGAACGTTCAAAACATTTCAATAAACTTCTTTGATATTCTTTGTGCCTACAGAGGCATTGTTTCCCTTCTTGTATTCATACAGCATTACGTGCTGAATGTGTGTCTCGTCATATGCCATCACTAAACTTTACACATTATATAGGCTACACTAACGTGACGTTTATGTGGTTCGTTTAAGTATTATACATGATGTACATTTTTGGGGGAGGGGTAATGAAAGTGTACAAAATGCTACATTAATTTCTTGACGCCCTAATATATTCTAAATTTTGATATTTTAGTTGTAACATTGTCGACTTGTATTCTGGTAAGTCAGTCTTAGAGAAAGTGAATAAAGAATGGCAATAACTTATTTTATTGGGAATTAACAAACAGAGAAAGTACTTTCAGAATAGAAGTTGGTTGTTTCTATATTTTTCAGACTAAAAATTTCTTTAAGTTTGGGAATAAAATTCATTAAACATTAGGAAACTTTTTTTGTTTGTGTATTTGTGGCAGTGACTTTGGATATTTGACACATATATCTTTTACCACACTATTCATTGGGTTCCTACAACTGTATTTCATATAAATTAAATACAGTTTAACATGTTGTCCATTAGATATGTTAAAATTCAATTTAGTATTTGTTCTTCTGTACTAGCACATTTCAGATCTCATGGTACTTTTATATGCTTTTATTATTCTGGTAAAACTCAGACTGTTTCCAATACTAGAAATAGACAAAGTAAAGTAAACATTTTATATATATGCTCAATGTAGAGATATTTAAAATGGTATTGTACTTTTTACCACAAATGTGTTTTACATATAAAGCTCTTTAGCACATGTTAATCATTCTTTTTTTCTATCATACTGTAGCCTACTGCAGACAAAGGGGACCAACCTACTATTACCAGTTCAGGTAAGTGTGTTCTGTTACCTATAAAGGGATACTCTATCATAAGTTCACATATAAAGAAAACTAACCATTCAGGTAAGTTTTAGTAAAGAGGATTAATTTTTATTAAGCAGTTCAAGCACAGATTCCCTGTTACAGGTAAAGGAGATCACTGTTGATTAACTCTCTTTACACTGGCTCGGTCGAATTGTCTGACCACATGACAACTTTGTACTCATTTAAAATCATTATAATTTTGATACTACTAACTTTTCATGTAATATGTGTGTCTTCACAAAATTTGGCAGGCTTTCAGTAAACATTACAAGTCTTTTAATTATTGAAAAAAAATCTTATTTTTTTAGTGAAGTATTTTTAATGAACTGAAAAAGATTTGTCCATGAATATCTTGAGTTTTTTTTTTCAACTAGTCCAAGTACAAAGTGATTTTCATACTATGATTAAAAATACTTTTCTTCATTTCAAAAATCTCAAATATCATTTGCATAATCACTAAAACCTCCTAAATGCATTTCAAACATTTTTTCCATAAAACTATATTTTATCTGTTATTTTCTCCACCCTAATTATACAAGGTTGGTCAAATTGACCAGCCTCGTAACCATCAAAAAAATATCGAAATAAATATAAATTACACTTTTTTCTTCTTAGAATGACATCAAATTGTAACATGAAACTACATTTGTTTATCCTAAGTAGCTTTAAACTTGTAACAGTATAAATCTATTTATACTTAAGTTTTATTGTTTTATTATCCTTTGAAATGTGTTTAACTACTATTCACGTCATTATAAGTTGTAAATCACTTGAAGAATGTGGAGTTCATGTTACATTATTGAATAATATTACCCAACAGGTTCTATGAACTACTCTCATTTGTGCCTCGTGAAACATTTTTATTATATTATTATTTATTTTACCTAACCTTAACTGACCTAAAGAGTTTCCTATTTTTACATTTTAGTTCCACATGAAAAACAAGAAATAAAGTACGTACCTGGGCCTCTTTTTTTTTTTTTTGCTGTCAACTGTTGAGGACACAATCCTACTTTTTTTACACTAATGGTAGTACTACTCTGAATAACTTTACATTTAATTAAATAATGCACCAAAGAACACATAATAATACATGCAAAAAGCAGACAATGTCCCATAACTGTTACAATTTTTCTGGCTTTCTAATTATGTGACAACAACCGTTTCTCTTGGGTACAAAGTTTGTACTGAAAGAAAATTTGAGAATTCTCTGTACAGAAAACAACATATTATAATACATCATTTGATAGATGAAAACCTTGGCTTTCTATTGGTTATAGATATGTATTAAATGAATAAGATAGCTATTAACCAATCCTCAAAAAGAGGATGTGGCAACAGGGGTTTGATTTTCTATTTGATGGCTCTGTAAGCAAACTAGATTGAAGGCTAAGAAAATTATGCTTCATCTGAGCGATGATGATATTTTAGTGAGTAACTGGTGAATAAATTAGAGAATTGGAGAATATATATAGATTATAGTGTAACATTTGCTCTGCATTGTAAGTTAAATGATTGTCTCGGGGTATGAAAGATAAAGTAGAAGTAGTTGATAAATGTGGGATTTATAAAATTCCATGTGCCTGTGGTCAAGTTTACATTGACCAAACATGAAGAAATTTTAAATTTAGGATCAAGGAACATAAAAATGCAATAGAAAAATATAAAGAAAATGAGTCAGCCTTAGCAGAACATGTGCATCTCATATTATAGATTAGAATAATGATAAACTAATAAATCAGGTGGAACTAAAACTTGAATTAAATATTGGGGAAACTACAGAAATTGAAAAAACAAAAATAATGCAGAGCAGGAAAGTTGGTCCAGGTTTAGAAGAAACGAAATACTAGACACAGGTTTTATAAGTCTTGATGGCACCAGAGGTATGTAAACTTGTGTAGTTATATAAGCCTTAATCAAACTTCAACTTTCACTCCTGCTGACTGTGGTGTAGAACACCAAAACATTTAAATGTCTTTGTAAGATTGATCCCTAGTTTTAATAAATTTTATTGTGCGATTATTTTAACGTTATATGCTTTTTAATTTTATATAAGAATATTACAGGTTATTAACCAGTTCAAGCTTGCATATCCTGTTATAAATAAAGAGGATCATTGTTGATTAAACAGTTCAAGTTCAAGCATCCTGTTATCATGAACCATGGTAGTGGTTCATAATGGGGATCACCCACTTGTTCTTCTGTATTATTTAATATTGTTCTGCCAGCCTACACCAAAAATGGCTGTAAATAGTGTAATAAAACCTGGGCAATATTAGTAAAGATTGTGCATTGTATTTTTTTAAGTTTATTTTACTACCCATCAAATAACAGCAGCTATATAACCATTCACACCCAGTTGTTATAACTCTCTCAACACAGGCTCGGCCAATTTGACCAACCATGTGACCTCTTTGTACTTGTTCAAAGTCTTTATAGATTTTGATACTACTAACTTTTACTATTGTGTGTATATCTTCATGAAATTTGGCAGTCTTTCAGTCAATTTTGACTCTTAAATATTACAGCTTTTAGACATGGAGCAAAATAGGGATTTGTAGTTTGAGGAAATAATGTCAACACTATGTCTCAAACCTTAAGTTTATTTGTTTACTTTTTTGTGATTGCAATTTCACTTTAAACTACTTATCTTGTCTCTGTATTTTTTGACAATCCCTATTTTACCTTTTTAAATTTACTATTTTTAATAATCTTGTAAATCAAAAGGATCAGTAGTAATTAATCAGCTCAATCGCACATGTCCTGTTACGTATAAAGGTAAAATTTATTAGTGCAGATAAATCTACTTGTTACAATATAGTGAGTATAAAAGTGACAAATATTCAAACACCCATTCAGATAGATGCAGACAGAGGAATAGATTTTAGGTACCAGTTCAAGTAAACCTAATCTGTTACAAGTACTACTAGTTCAGATTAGGCACATTTGATACAAAGAAAAGGTACTAAGTGTTAGTGAGAAGCTTATGCAAGAATATTCTGTTATAAACAAACAGAATCAGTATTCAACCTCCAGTGCAGATAAGCCTATTCTTCTGCAGGTAAGTAGAATCAGTGTTTTACCATTATATCCTGATTGTATATTCTCTTAAAGATAGTATGTAAAGTCTCACTACTGTATTTGAGTTTATCATGTCACATACCTTCACAAAATATCATCTCTCAGCAGTTCAGATAAAACTTAATTTACTACTTATTAAAGGTGTGGCAATACAGCAACACGAGTGTTGTATCGTGAAGCTGTGACAATTGTATTGATACATTGTCCGATACAATTTGTGTATCCTCACAAAATTTGGGAAGCTTTCAGTAAACATTATAAGTCTTTTGTACAGAGAAAGATCAGAATTTCTAATAAAGTATTTTTGCTCAAAATTAATGATTCAGTAAAGAAAGATAAGTATTGAGTACTAAATGTTGCAAAGTAACATAAATTAACAATAACAAAATAGATAAATATTAACTTTTTTCACTTCTCTTGCCAGCTGCCATTTAGTTGATCAAACCTGAGAATTTGAAAAAGCACTGTAAAGTCTGAAGTACTTAAATAAGACAATGTTAGTAATATAGATAATAAATTACAGACAAGACTGTCAAACTTTGTAACAAACCATTGATAAAACTTCTGTATCTAGATATGTATTGTATTGCAGTATCAATATCTAGATACATATCGTATCGACTACTGTGATGAGATATGCACCTTTAATACTTATACAAGTATATGTTACATAGTCTTCATATAAAAAGGGTTACCCTTTTCATTCATCAGTTCAATGTAGCCCATTATTTTCCAAGACATAAGAGCATTTATTATATATTTGGTTTCTTTTTTTTTTACTCTTGGTTCATAGAGTAATTTAAAAATTTTATTAATAGAGTATCTGTTATTTTTTGACAGAATTCGACCGTTTCTTGGCAGAGAGAGCAGCTAAAGCTGAACAGCTGCCAGTGGTGACAACAGCTGGTGATACTCAGGCAACAACTTCCACTAACTCATCAGGAAGGAGAACCATGGATAGAGCTGGAGAAGAGAATTCTTTGTTTGCCTTGTAAAACTGTGTTCTCAACATGGAAAAGAAATACAGTATAGTTTTCAACAGCTAAGAAATTTAGCACTTTTTGAAATCTGCAAAACTATATTAGGTGTCAGCTTTTCAGCCTTTTCAATCCTCGTAACGCAGAGCTAAGAACATGTAAAATTTTGCAATTAGGGCAAGTGAAAAGAAAGACCTTCCCTTATCAGTTTATTTTTTGCTTACTTGTGTTAAATACCTATTTACAACCACACACACACACACACACAATCACATACTTATTTTGACTAACATATACAAAATGTATTGTAATATTGAATTAGCTTGTATAAGAGAATCATAATAAGTTCAAATGTTGTATATTTAAACTACATATATATATATATATACACACACACACATTTTCTGTCAAAAAAGATATTTGTCTTCTTTACTATTAATTATTCAGGTAGTGAATTAAATTTACATTATTTTTAAACATTTATTATGAACTGTATTGAACTCACAAGGTCTTGGAAATTAATGTGTCAGTAGAAAAACATATAGCATTTTTTGTTTGGAAGAGTTGGAATTGTATTAGAATATTAAGTTCTATCTACACTGCGTAGTTGGTTGTAATCAGTTTTAAATTTCTTTGTTATACTTGCCTGCCTGCTTGACAGAATGTGAATCAAAATATATATTTTATATGTGGGTTAATAGGTCACTTTACTAAAGGTTGTTGCTATAATTTCATGACTATTATATGAATATATTGTTAGCTGATATTATGGAAATAGTTTCAGTTTTGTAAACATCGTATATGCACAGTTTCGAAGTTTGCTTATATAGTAAAAAGGCATATATTTCATACATATTAATGATAAGTGTTTCAAAGCATTTTTTTTATATTTCTGCATATGTTAGTTTGGAAAAAATGCTTTTAATATGATAACCATATTTAATCTGGATATCTTTCATACATTTTTTTTTATTCAAAGAGTATTTAAGTCGTATATCTGCATACATGCAAGTCGATTAAGGTTATACTCTTCAGTGAAAATCTGTTTAATAAAAGTACATAATATACAGCTGTTGTGATTCAAAGTTGCTTCATTCCTACAATATGTTAGATGAGAATGTTTTGACTGAAGTAGTAGAAGTTTATGGTTATCGAAGGCCAGTAGTTGTTGCTATTATGCATCAAATTTGCTAGTAAATTTGTATCTTTTTTTTTTAGCTTTATGAATGGCATAAAAGTTTCTCATTTAGTCTGTGCCCATTCCAGATATTTAAAAGGAGTGTGTTTGATGTTTTAGTGATATTGTGATGGTGAGCATCTCAAAGCACTTAGTTGTGTCATAATCTCAAAGACATAAATTTTGATTCTGTTTTGTGAGGTTTCAAGAAAAGAATCTTTATCTTTGGTAGCCCGAAAATTTGAAAATCAAAAAAGTTAACAGCATCAGGAAATTTGACATTTGAATAAACCATAGTTTAGTATACCAAGCTCAGGTTGGCATTCAGAAACATGATTCTCACCACACAACCTATTTATCAGCTAGGCACGCATTTCAAAATATGATTCACATCTGGTTTGTACAGTTTGTTGCTCAACCAGGGTTGCATTTAGAATTATGGTTTTTTTTCAGGAGCAAAAATATGGTACTTTTATCATCCAGGTTTATATTCAGAAATAATGTTCAAATTTGAAGCAGTAGGTCATTTAGGATTATTGCCTAATATTGGATAGTTATTGGGTTCACTGGCATTGCATTTAGAAACACATTCCATAACTAACAAATATAGGCTGTTTAATAACCAGAATTGTATCACTAATCAATCAGGTTTGTATTCAGCTTGTAATTGAACAAACAAGTTTTTGTATTCTCAAACAAGATTCGCATCTGGAGCACCTTATTTGCTCAAAAATTAACCTAGAGACATTGAGAAACCATTTGGTCCTTCTAGACTACCCTTGCACACGCACCCTTGGGAAATTTAAATTCACCCTTTGTTTTTCAGGAAATAATCAATTCTTTACTAAACCCCTTTAAAGTGCTGCCCTCCACTACTGCCAATGACAGTTCATTCCTTAAGTCAGTCACCTTGTTAAAAAAACGAAATTGTCTTAATTGAAGCCTAGTTTGTCTTTACATATCTTAAACTTGAGTTCTCTTGTCCTGTTATCTTCAGAATATAGCACATAGAAACCAGAGGCTTTAATGTTATTGATCCCCTTAATAGTCTTGTAAACTTCAATAAGATCACCACATATCCTTCTTTTCTTGAGGGAAAATAAATTATGGGGTCTTAACATATCCATTTAAAATAACACTTTCATCCATGGAACCATCCTAATAGCCTTCTTCTGAACTCTTTCCAATAGTTATTAGTTATCATAGGTTTGTTTTTAGAAACATGTTCTATATCTGGAACTCAATCTTTGGTTTATCAGCCAATTTTTTTTTTTTTCAGAAATTGGGGTCATGCTGGAAACATGTTTATTAAATAGCCCAACTAAATATGTGGTTTATACTGGAATACCTCTATTAAAAGTCTGTAGTTCATTTCAAGAGTTATTTGTATAAAAAATAAACTAGAAGCACTTTCACTGCATGCATGAAACTCTGAAGCTGGGCATAACAAGTAATACAAAGTCCTTTGCTTCAGAATATTTAGTGATCATTTTAGAAACATACTTAAAAACACAAAACAAATGTTTTATAAATGCAATTGCATAAATCTGAAGTAGGTTTGTATTAGATGTAATATTTTGCTTTCATGATTTGAAATAGTATAAAATCTTTTTACACATTTTGTGAAGTATATATTAAAACTTTGCAGCATGTAAACTTTCTGAGAATTGGGCTTTTCAGTTCATGAAGTTTTCACTTCCATATTATAAGTTATAAAAGAGGGAATGATATTTTGTTAGTTTAAAAATTTTGCAGTATTTAATATTTAGAATATTTTAGTGCCCAAAGTATAAGTAATTAGGATGATTTATTCAGCAAGGGGTAGGGAAAAGATTTTGTACAGTTATGCAGTTCAGGGGAGTTAAAAATACAAAAGCACTTATAATTGCAGATTTCCAAGAGAAGAATCAGTTGTGATTCAAACCCATGACTTCTCTTTGCAGGGCAGATGCTCTAATTTAATATGCTGTTGGATATTCACTGTCATTTTTTTTTTCTTTTTTGTTTACAAGATTGAATTGGCAAGAATCTTAAGTTCTGCAAATCAGCCTGTAATGCTCATAAACAATACATTGTCATTTATGGTAGGAATTCCAAAGTTAAGTTTCTAGTTGAATAGAACTGTAAATGTTTAGTGTGACAGGTTGTCTTATTTAATTGTTAATGGGCAAACTGGTGTTAGAAATTCACATTAGGCAACAAATATTCACTTCTGATTTTCATAATATATTTATAAGAGAGCTATTATATGTTTATAGAAAGATTGCACAGACTAAACTAATATTTTAGTGCTACTGAGAAAATTGTTAACACAACTTAAAAGGCTTTGCAGGACTTTATATCCCAGTATTACCTGCTGATGAATTGGCAAGAATTAGTTTATTCTTGAACAGTTTAAGGTGAGATTTACACTTTATTGCCAGCTTATTTCTCTGTGAACTCTCATATTTCCTAAATTTAAGCTTTATCAATCATTTTCATACAGCATTAGATTCAGAAAACTATTATGAATTATGTCGCATACTAATGGAATAATTCATGCACTGATTGCTGATCTCATATATTCCTGCTGAAAACTATCAGGCCATGGATATTTATTTATGTAGCCTCAGCCTCAGTGGCCAAACTGTTATTGGGCTCAAATTTCTAACACACTTTTGTGTAATAGAATTTTTGTTAATCATCATACTTAGATGCAAAGTCACTGGTGTCAATTTTACTTTTCTGGTGTTGATACTTTGAAGTGGTAGTACTTTCATAACAAAGTAAATGTGGTGGAAAGTTGATTTTAGTTTAATAAGAAGAATGTTTTTGTAAGGCATCAGCTGTATTTGTGCTCAAGATGTTCTTTTGCATGTTTTTCTCTCCTTTTATATTTTGCACCAATCATTTCATTTACAAGCATTATGTATTAGAAAATTTGTGATTATATTGTAAAACATAGGTACATTTTTATATTAAAGAATACAGGTAAAATATTCCTGTAATCTAGACTGTCTGCTAACATTTTTATTTCCTTGACTTGAAGACTCACTACTTATGGCTACTTCCCAAGTGCTGTGCTTTTACAGCGTTCAATTTTCCATTGTTTACAACTATGCAGTTTGAGAGAGTTTGTTAAGAAAGTGTATGGGATGATTAATTGTGTGTAATTTATTTTTTGTGGTGATTACACGGTGTTTCTTGAACTGTGTTTATGTATAGAACAGGAGATTAAGTACTTATTAATAGAATTAAATATTAAGTACACTCCCACTTTCCTTATAATGGACAAATATGCATTTGTTATTAAAAAAGTTTAAAGCTGTTTTTTTCATGTGGAATATCTATTTGCTGCAGGTTTTATCTGATGTTCCAGGATTTCTATTCCCAGCAGATTTTGTGTCTATTTTTATTTTATTCAACTTGTTAGAGAATCAACTTGTTATTGTTACACTCATGAAAGTAAAAGTTGTTTAGTTTCACAGGAATTACTACATGTTAAATAATAATAATAACCTCCTGATTAAAGAGTTATCAGGTAGAGAGGTGAACAAATTAAAAGTGATTACTTTTCAACAAGTATGAAGTTTGTTTCTTATGATCGTTTATTTTCTTATGAATCATAAGTGTAAAATAAGTTATTTCAGAAATACAGAATTTTATTCTTACAGTTTATATAATGCGAACATGTTATATTTGATGAGAAACTTGAAATACTCTGGATTTAATTTATTAGTATTATCAAATGAACTGAAAGATAAGTTATAACTATCATTAAGAAAATCTGTCATGATTTTTCTGTATTAAAGTAGTATTCAATTCTCTCTCATGTTTGTATCTACCTGTTATCAATGAACAAAAAGAAGATTGGCAAATTATCATATATGGGCATGTATAAAAATAAAGAATACTCATTATTACTTTCTGACAATTTTAGCTTAATAAAAAATTATTGAAGAATATTAGCTTAAAGAATGTATAAAAGTTTGGAAACTTTCCTGATAAAACATATATGCTTTTCTAATGATTTAATTAACATACAAACATAGAAAGAAATGAAGTTTCCTATTAAGAATGTGTGCAAGAGTTGATAACATTGTCTTTCAAAAAATAAATTGTAATGATAATAAGACAAAAATGAGGAAGACCTAAAACAAAATAAAAATTCAAGATGCTTCTGTATTCTGTTGTATTTTACTCTAGTGGAGAATTGGTAGTTGTGTTGTAATGGTGATGATTTATATTATTGTAAGTATATAATATTTTCATGTTAATGTAAAAAAAAGAACCTTGTCAAAAATATGTTAAATAATCAAAGTTGTTCATATCTTTCTGAGATCTGATAATTTTGTGAACATTTGCCCTGATATTTACTGAAGTCGTACATGTAGAACCCTTTAAAACTGATGTCAGATTGTATGATAAGAGACTTTAACAACTTACTGGTTCAGTACGATGCTTAGTTACGCTAAATGATATAAATACTTTGTAAATCTTGTTGACTGCAAGGTGTTAACAAAACACACTAAAATTCACACATTATTTAGGAAAATTATGGGTTTCTTGTTGATATCCCATTATTGACACTGTATAATTTTTCTTTTTGTAGCAGCAGAGCCTTATTAAAGCTTGAATGAAGAAAATTTAATGTTTTCTTTAATTACAATGTTTAAAAATCTACTATCATGTTAAGCTGTTATTAATTTTTGGTGGTGAGTAGCATAGGCTGTTGCAAAAATTGAAAAATGGCCTAGAAATTACATTTTTATGTTAGTTAGATGTGCATATTTTTTACTTTTTTTTTGTACAAATGTACCCAAAAGCATTTTTTCACCTTTCATACCTTTTACTTTTCGAGCATTAAAAATGTTTCTTATATCAAACAGTATTAATCTTCATCACTTTCCCTCTGACTCATTTTTTTCTGTTTAGGTACACTAGCACAGTTTGTGCAATCACATGGTATGTGCACGGAAGATTTGTTGTCACACTTTGATTTACTACATCCAAAGTGAACTATTTCTGAAATTTCCTCCTGTGCAGACTTTCTTTTCATGCAGTGGATGACTAGTTGCCCATTTTCCACCCTCCATCCTAGTCTAGTAGGTGGCAGAACTTTAATGGGTGGAAGAAAGCTCCAGTCATAAATTGCTGCTTAATAAGTTATATACCTCAAATGCAACAGTAAACCATCCTCATTTGTGGGAAGTGCAGTAGCATTCTTAAAATGATGGCAAAGGATATTGTACCAAAAAATGTTTACATCTTGCTCACTCTGCCTGTACAATAAACAGACAAATTCCTTGATAAGTGGCAACTGTTCCAAATTGAGTTGAAAGTACTCTCTAGAAGCTTGCATTGCTTGGCAGTCTGATGAAGGCCTTTTTTATGTAGTTGATAAAAACTCCTAACACTATCACAGCCTGTAATACAGTGCAAGCAATGAGTGCATCTACTCCAGCAGACCCTAAAGCATTACAGTACAAGTCAAAGGGAGCATCCTGTTTTTTTTTACTTTTTTTTTATTCATAGAAACTAGCCTTTCCTGGAAGAATAAAGCAAGATGAGAATGTGGTTGTGCAATGTCCAGACACTGAGTTACAGTCTTCTGCTGCAGGGGCATGTAAACAAAGATGTGTTAGTTTCTTCTTGATTGAAGCTATTTAAGTAATTGAAATATTGCTTTCATAATGTGTTTGTCGTTTAAAAATAAACCTACCAAATGGGCAAACCATGCCCAATTTTAGTTTTATATGGTGATCTTTTTTTTCACTTCAAATTTGTTCATCTTTGATGATTCAATGGGGAAAGTCTCATGATGTGAGGATCTCAGGTTTGACTCCCATTGCCACCAAACTTGCTCACCCCATCTTTGTCTTGGCAATGTTCCTAAAGTTGTCTGTCACTAATTTTGAACTGCTAACTATAGGGAAAGCAACTGCCACCACCTTTTTTTTATTATTATCTTGTTTGTCATATCATGCCTTGAGGAATACTGTACTTATCAACTAATCAAATGTAATTGATTAATGGGGCTGTTGATTAATTGATTAGCAAATAACACAAATTGTGCTGCTTTAACTGGATGCCATGAATGATATTAACAGTTACTGCACTTGATAACTCAAGTTTGCTCTTTCCACAGTTTTCAGTATTAGCAGTTGGATCCCTGTCTTCAGAGATTTTATGGGGTTATTTCTAGAATGTGTTGAAATTCGACAAAATGTATACAGATTTGAGGTGTTTGACCATTCCGACAGTGTTGATACTGTTAGTACTCATCTACACCTTCAAATGTTTGAATTAGTCATTCATGTTTTTGCACTTGTTAATAGAATTTTCAGAATTAAACAAAGCATTAGATATGTAAACAAACTTTTAGAAAATTACAAAGCAAACCTATTCGAAACTATTAAAAATAAAACATTCAGACATGCTTCTTGCTCGGGCATTTTCTTTAAAATATAAAGATTTATTTTGATTAGCATAAAACGACATAAAAATACTTGGATTTAAAAAAAAATCATTTTGATACTACAGCATTACATGAAATTATAATTTGAAAATTTTGCAGTTGAAAAGTTTTTTGTTAAATTTTAAAAACACCTTATTTATATTCATGTGGAATGGATAAACATACATCCATTTTCTCAAATAATATTATTCTGCTAGTAGAACATGTCGAAATTCGGCAAAATAATTAAAGTTGTGGGATTTCAAACCATGATCTAAAACTAATGACTATCAAAATCATATTGAAAATGTTGTTTACAAAATGTCCATATAAACAACATTTGTGCTTTTAGGGACATAAATATTTAACCGATCAAATGACCGTGCCATGAAGAACTACACAGAGTTAACCGTAAGGAAGTATTGACTGAACTAAGTGCAACCCAAACAAACAGACATCTATTTATCCAATTTATATTATCGTAAGATATACATAAGCAAACGCGCATATAATATATACATAGAAATAAACATTTCACTCGCCAAAATGATCTAATCCACGTGCATATAGTTATTGGGGAGGCTGGTTGCTACTCTTGTGCACGCTCTTAGTTTGGGCAAAGATAGAGAAATGCACTAAGGGTTTTTGGATATGCGCCGAGAACAACAGAGACTATCTCGAAAGCAGTCCCTACTTTTAAAGTTATAGACTAGGGGGAAAGCAGCTAGCCAACAGCACCCAGCTACTCTAATGGAATAATGAGGATATGAACTTCAATCGTAGAACACACATACAGCCCCAAAGAGCAGTTTCTCATTTTCAGAACAGGACGTGAACGTAGTATCCTCGGATCCACATTTCTGCACTAAACTAAAACAAGTTTGGTATTTATTGTAAGCTGAAGCAAATAATGAAGCATTTAACAGAGAAATTAAAATTGCTGTGGTAAAGTAGGTAGAAACAAATATTATTTTAATGGTTCTTTTGAGCTTGAATACCCTATCATTTGTAATAAGTACATGTACTACAGTAGGTTGCACCTCGATAATTTTACATTAGATTTGTTTGTTTATTTGTAATTAAGCACAAAGCTACACAATTGGCTATCTGTGCTCTGCTCACCACTGGTATCGAAACCCGATCTCTAGCGTTGCAAGTCCGCAGACATACCGCTGTGCCACTGGGGGGATTTTGGGTCGTATGTTTGTTATAAGAGTGATGATCAAATTCCACTATTCGATGTGACAAGAACAGCCAATGAGTTGTGTCGACTAAGTATTTGCTCTCTAGTGTATCACCTGAAAAGTAGAGGCAGCTATCGTAAGTAGCCCTCGTATAGCTTTTCGGGAAATTGAATACAACATACAAACGCTCTATAACGAAAATAAGTAATTACTGAAACAATTTTTATTTCTTAATTTCAAAGAAATTTATATGATTACGACAAATGCGGAAAATTTGCTTCCAATAGAATGAAGAGAAAAGATTGTTTTAAAACGACAATTATCACAAGATGTACTTGCAGAGAATCCCTGAAAGTGCTCTGTTTCAAGAGTAAATAAAACCAAAATGAACACTAACAAATATTTGTATTTATTTATTTTGAAGCTCATATGTCATGCTATATTGTAGCTTACAGAGTGCACAATTCTTCTCGTGATTCATGGCATGCGCAAGTTTTACTGATGTCACGACAATACAAATACATTGTTAAGCGTCACTTCGGTATGTCATTTTTAGTGTCTACTGACTGCCAGACAACACGTTACTATATTGTGGTGCGAGTTGTTAAAACAGTGACGTCTCAGGCGGGCTTAGGCCTCCCTTTCGGGGAAACAAGTATTAGTAGCAGTTTGTGAACACAGAAATATAGTTCAAGTAATGAAACTTTTATCAGAAATTCAAAAGAGAAAGATATAAAATACGAAAAGACAAAACTTTTCAAAAAATGTCAAGAGGAGAGAATTGGACAATTTCATGTCGCTATGGCTTGCCAGACAGTTAGTTCCCCAGTGGCTAATGCTATTAATTTTCTTGGGTGTGATGTTAAATACCCTTATTTTGATAATTCTGGAGAAACATCTATGTTCATTCTGCTACAGAATTAAAACAGCTGGTTCCATAATTTTGTCTTTTTTTTCAAACATTTAAAATTATCAGTATTACAATGTGATATAATGAGTACACATGTCTATTTCAGTATTCTTATCCGCAAATACTAAACTTATTTGCTCTTTTTTTCTTTTTTTTGCTGTTCATAACTTTGGCGCTAAGTTTGGTTGTTGTTTTTTTCTTTGATGATTACAGTTAATTCAGACCATTTTCATCATTATGTTTCAAGTTTCTGAATTTAAGGTTTTATACATTATGTCACTTGACGTTGTTTTTTGTGCAATAAAGATGCAAATATGTATAATTTTTGTGGAAGACTACCATTTAAAGTGAACATTTCTGACAAAATTAACTTTTCTGTGGCTATATTGCTATCAAAAAGTATTGTTACGTCTCCGTTTGTTAATCAATTTTCCGTAACTTCGTTCCGACGAAACTTGAGCGACACAAGTCCTTACTTAATAAAACTGGTTTATTCTTTCTGTGTGACTTCACGACACACTTGATTTCAACATTCGCGCTAAAACAAACGCTATAACGAGCGTTAACTTCAACAATACTTTCTCACTGCAGATCAATTACTCACTACCTACACACGCATTATTGTCACGCCGTGACCATCTTATATATACCAGACCACCCCCCAATCTAGCAAATGCTAGAGCACTCCCGAAGGAACGGGATAGTTCTAGAAACGTGGCGTGACACTAGTCACGTGACCTCGCTGACGCAACAGTATTAATTACGATTGATCTATATTATACAAACGATACATAGGTGGTAGGTTATTTCATAAAACTTTCAGGTACCCTGCTTCTCTGAATGTTACTGTTCACCTTTGCAAATATTCGTGACGTTGTTCCGACACTTTGACATTAGGCTTACGTTATATATCTATAATTTTTAAACTCAAATTTACAATATTTTGTGAAAATCCTGGAAAGTTGAGCTTTAGCACGTGTAAATTTATTATCATTAAGAGAGAAAAAAGACGGCCACTGATACGTCAAATTTAATATTATTACGACTAAAACTAGGCTGTTCACAAACAAAATTGTCCCATGATAGGATAGTGGTAAGTTTCCAGTCTTACAAGGCAAAAATCTGAGCTTCTATTTCCCGCGATAGACACAGCAGATAGCCCAATGTGCCTTTGTTTAAAAAAAAAAATAGCATAAGTAAAACAGATTAGATATATTAAGGTAGGAGGTAAAAAGTTTATATTGGTACAATAATTGATTGTTTAGTTTCACGAAGTTTTGACCTGGACCAATAAATTTGTCCCAATGCTCAGCAGGTTTACGACGCAAAAAATTGGGTTTCGATAAATGT